AATTCCGCCCATTCATCCATCCTGTCCATGCTTTCAGCTTCCCACCACATGGTCTTGTGTCTACGCCAGAGAGCTTCTCCAACCCTGGGAAGGTGTTTGGGGTAAGCAGGAAGAATAGAGTGGTGAAAATCCCCAGCAGTTGGTGGATGAATAAACCAGTCCCTGCCTGTTTCCCTAAGGCCCCCAGTCGAATTGAGCCCCAGTTGCTCCTAGCAGTAACCTGCTCCCGAACACACTCCATCCTGACTGCCTTCTCTTCCCTGTCTCACTTCCCCACTGCCCTTCTGGGATCACCTTCCAAATGAACTACTTGCACCCAAATACTTGTTTGGCTCTGCTTCTGAGAAGGAACCCAAATGAAGGCAGTACACATTCCTGTGCCTTTGATTCTGATGTCACTTTAACAAAACACTCATGGGTCTGTTTACCTAGTGGAAAAACTAGGTAACCTGTGGCAGCCCCCACGGATATCCAGATCCTGATTCCTGGAACCTGTAAATGTTACTTTATATGGAAAATGGGACACGGTAGATGTGATTAAGAAATTTAAAAAGAGGGGATTATCCTGGATTACTTGGGTGCACCCTAAATACAACCACAAGGGTCCTTGTAAGAGACAGGCAGAGTACATCTGAAAAGAACGAGGCAATTGACCACTCAAGCAAGACACTATGCTGCTTGCTTTGAAGGTGGAGAAAGGGGCCAGAACCAAAGAATGAAAGAAATGCAGCTCTAGAGCCGGACAAGGCAGGAAAGAGATGCTTCTCAAGAGCTGTCTGAGGGAGCTCGGCCTTAGCAACACCTTGATTCCTGCCCAGTGAAACTGATTTCAGACTTCCGACCTCCAGAGCCATAATCGATGTGTGCTGTTTTAAGCCACTAAGTTTGTGATGATTTATGACAGTAGCCAAAGGAAACTAATACAGGAACTCAGAGGTGAGCTAGAGCAGAGGCTCTTACAGGGTGGTCCACGGACCGGCAGTGTCACAGCTCCTGGGATCTTGTTAGAAATGCACTCTTGGGCCCCATCCTAGAACTACTAAATTCAAAACTCCAAGGTGTGTCTCAGTGGTCTGCAGTTTAACAAGCCCTCCAGCTGAGTTTGATGTTGGCCATAGTTCAGCGACTAGCCCTGGTCAGACATCAGAATCACCTGGAGGACTTTAAGCACTCCCGATGCCTGATCCGATACCCAGAGATTCTGGTTTAACTGGTCTGCTCAGCTTGGACTCTGGACTTTCATAATGCACCCCAGTTGCATATTGTTTTGTCTTGCCAGGGCTGGGAACCAGTGCTGTAGTTTTAGACTCTGATCTAGAATATTGACTTTCAAACTGAGCTGTGCAGAGCTTTGGGATTCTAGATAGATGCTGAAGAAGGGGAAGGCAGAGGCCATGCCAGCAGGGCTCCTGGTCCCTGAGATCAAAGAGTCACATGCCCAGAGGCGGGTCAGAGAGGTAGATGTAGTAAAAGAGATGGACCAGGGTTAAGAGCAGACTTGGCGAGCTAGAGCAGCTCTACTCCAAATAGTGATAGCCATGCCAGAATGTGGGTCCAGGACTGCCAGCCTGTCCTGCATTTCAAGATGTTTGCTTCGTTATTTATTTATTGCTAAAGAGACATCAGAAATACTTTTTAAAAAATGTTGAAGCATTCAATTTTTAAACGTTAGCAACTAACGCGATTTTTAGAAATCACCACCATCCACAAACCTAACCACCCTTTAGTGCTATAAGGGCTAAGCATAAAGGCTGGATTTGGTCTTTGGGCAGCTGGTTCACAAGCTCCATCTCTGCCCCATGAGTCTTTCATTCATCTCTTAGGACTGGCTCGCCTGGACAAGTTCTTCTCAGGGAGATGACAGAAACTCTGGATGAGTGAGATATTTTTGTCTGCCTGCTCACTGCTGCATCCTCAGGCATATAGTTGGCACTCATGAAATGTTTGTTGAATTAATAAATCCTCATAGCAATTCTGTGTGACAAAGACTATTATACCCATTCTTCAGATGAGAAACTTGGGGCTCACTGCATGAAGTGAACACTCCACCATCACACAATTCATAACTAAGAGAGGTGCAATTGGCACCCAGGACCCCTCACAGTAGGGGCTACTGTGAAGAGCAAGACAACCGTAGTTGTGTCTTTATAAAACAAGAGGCTTCTGGGATCATTGGTGCCAATCCATAGGAGAAATACAAGTGGTACTCATGACTGAACTGCATTTAAAGAAGATGGGACATGAGCTTATTTGGTGTCTCATCGAAGCCAGAGCAGCTCTTTGTTCACTCTGGAGCTGTGTTGTTTTCGTATGGATGTGGCAGTGGTGGCTGTGCACCTGAAAAAAGGAGTGGGTGTGGGTGTGGCAAACAGTAAGGTGGGGGGGTTGGCCCAACTTATCAGAAGGGAAAGTCTTCCATCTCTCACACCTACCTCTCTCTTTGTCTGAACGGGACGTGAGCCCTCTGCTGCATGCAGAGGCTTGGGATGGGGTGCAGCAGGAAGCCTGAGACCCCTTAGAGAGTTATTTAATTTAAGAACCTCTCTGATGTTATTATCCATAGGAAATATGGGGCAGTAAATCAGAGGAGATGGCTGGCAAGTGCATTACAGAGCATTAAACAATAGCTGATCAGCATCAGACACAAATAAATGGTCCATAATCTACTGCCAAGAACATGGACGGTTCCCAAGTGGTGGCATGGCTGGCTTCCAGGCAGGGGAGCACGGGGCTGGACATCAGGCCCTACAGGCCACAAAATGTCTGTCCTGGGTCACATCTCAGCAGGCAACAGGAGAAGATTCCAGTACCCAGACAGAAATCACAACCTTCCATCTGATCTCACTCTGTAGGACTGGATTTGGGTGTTCTCACCATCCAGTTTCTGAGACCTGAACCCAAACATTGCCTGGAAAGTCCCTGCCTTCCTGGAAAATCCTGTATTCCATGAGGGAAGCCACTTATGTCTGTGGGGGCACTGATGGGTTGGCTCACAATGCCTAAAGAGAAAGCTTGTGAAGTGGATTACCTGGCTCCCCACCCCCAAACACCCTGTTGACACCATTTCACCAGAGCATTGTTTAGCTTAGATCCTTAAGCTCCATTAAAATGCAAGAACCATAAAGGAGAGATAAATCAGTACCTTGGCAAGTCATGCACATTTTAGTATAAAGCAATATTCAATCTTTTGCTAGAGCTTTGGGCATTGATATCCTGAGGAAAAAGTAGGAGAGAATAGAAAATAAAGAATCCAGGCCAGGTGTGGCGGCTCACAGCTGTAATCTCAGCACTTTGGGAGGCCAAGACCGGCAGATCACTTGAGGTCAGGAGTTTGAGACCAGCCTGGCCAACATGGCGAAACCCCATCTCTACTAAAAAAAAAAAAAATTGCTGGGCATGATGGCACGTGCCTGTAGTCTTAGCTACTCAGGAGGCAGAGGTATGACAATCACTTGAACCTGGGCGGAGGTTGCAGTGAGCCAAGATTGCGCCACTGCACTCAGCCTGGGCAACAAAGCAAGACCCTGTCTCAAAAAAGATAAAAAAAGGATCCAGAGGAGAGTTTCCAGAGGATACGAGGGCAGCCTGCAGGACTTTAAAAGCCAATATCACTATTTATCCAGAACCATAAGCAGATTTGGTATATACTGCTGAAAGCCCTGGACTTAGAGTGAAGAAGCAGGATTCCAGTCTCCAGCTCTCCCACGTACCAGCTGCATGACTTTGGACAAGTCACTTAACCTTTCTTAGCTGCCATTTCCTCATCTGAAAGGGGAAGTGGTGCTGCCCCCATTCAGGAGTGCTGTGAGAATTACATAAATTAAACTGTGTGGAAGGCCTGCCCTTCTGTAAATGTCATTGTCTTTGTGTCTGTGCCTCCACATTCTGGAAATTGTACTACTACTGAGCTACAACTGTGAGTGGATACTGGAGCCAAGCCAATCCACAGACCCACAAGTGAGCCCTGCCAGGGCCAGCCAAACCCAGGCTGGATCAGCTGACCCTTAGTTTACCCACAAACACATGAATTTCAACAATAAATGATTGTTGTTTTAATCCACCAAGTGTCACGGTGGTTTATTACCCACCAATGGTTAAGGCAATACACCAAATGTGGGGTTCTCGGCATTTTTAATAATTGCCATGTTCAATAGAAATCATTCCAAGATATAAATGGCATTTATCTGCCTTCTTAAGCAAGATAAAGTGGGCACAATCCAGTCATCACTGGAGCTTCATGCTCATCATAATGAAAACCAGTTAATATGCTGCAGTCAATGATGCCTTCAGGGGTTACAGACAGAGCAGAGGCTCTAGGAGTAGTTCTAGTCTACTTTTTATTTTTGTCTTTTTTTTTTTTTTTTTTTGAGACAGAGTTTCACTCTTGTTGTCCAGGCCTGGAGTGCAATGGTGCAATCTTGGCTCACCGCAACCTCTGCCTCTCGGGTTCAAGAGATTCTCCTGCCTCAGCCTCCTGAGTATCTGGGATTACAGGCATGAGCCACCACGCCTGGTTAAATTTGTATTTTTAGTAGAGACGGGGTTTATCCATGTTGGTCAGGCTGGTCTCGAACTCCCGACCTCAGGTGATCTGCCTGCCTTGGCCTCCCAAAGTGCTGGGATTACAAGTGTGAGCCACCACGCCCAGCCTACTATTCTTTTTGAAATCTCAGACCCATTTACTAATTCTTTATTGTTTTTCTTGTAATCATTCTTATCATCTGTCATTGTGTCCATCTTAAGCAGCAACTCCTCCCTCCCCAGTAACTCACCACATTTCAAGACACCTACTATTTATGTCTATTACAGTGCTATCCAAAATAAGAGTTAATAGGCTTAGAGTAAGGGCCCAAGATAGTTTTGTGTGTATCAAATATTATGTGCTTTAGCAGTGGCATTTCTATCATCAGCTCTGGCCTCTGATTTTTTTTTGCTCTCTCCCTGGTTCTCCTCTGGGACCCAGCAGTGGAGGTTGCCAGGTAATGAGCCTCAGATCCAGATAGCTGGTGCTAGGCAACTGCTAGAATATAGTCTTTCCTGAAGACAGCGAAGGAGTGGATTATCTATGAAGGTAAGCACTGGCCTACAGGCCCATGAGAGCTCTTCCTCCAGCATAGCGCCTTTCCAGGGCATTTACCACATGCCACCTGTGTTTCAAAAGCAGGTGATCATGGAATCCCCCAGAACAGAGGCTATATCCTACTTGTCTCTGTGTCCCCTGAAGCACACATTAGAGTGCGAGGCACACAGTAGGCACTCACTAAATTATAATGCATAGAATGAAAAGATTTTCCTAGTTGCCCATATTTTCTGTGCATATACAGCCTATCTTCAGAAGAATAAGAGTTTATAAGCTTCTGAATATGGAATATTTCACATCAAATTGTTGGAAAATATTTTCAAAGGATTAAAGTTGTCTTCTCAAGGAACAGTTTCCATTTTTTTAAGGCTCAACTTTATTTCTGAACTGTGCTATCATAAAGCCATGGTGACTACATTAGGGGGACAAAGCCAAGTGACCACTGGAGAAAACATATCTTTGTGATACTGAGCTGGTTACCTTAGTGATTCCCCCTAGGTCTATTCCATTGTTTTACCAAATGTCTAATGACCACACTCCCAGCCAGAAGTACCTGTGGATGTGCACACTGGTTGTTCTCCATCCCAACCCTCCCCTTTGCTCTCTGCCTTAAGTGTTCTGCTCCCTGACCTCCATGGTCTGCCCTCTGGCTTCAAATTGGGTTGGCCAATGAGAGGCACTGCCAATAGGTACTTGGATGGGAGGAGAGAGAAGTTACTGTATTTCTCCTTCATTTTCTCCTTGCTTTGGGTCCCTCCATGACCAGTGCTCCTGCCTGATGGCCCCTCCTCCAAGGCTCCAAATCTCCCTGAGATCCATTTCCCTATTTTACCCTCTTGCCTTTTCAAGCACAGGGTGGTAAAGACATCCTGCGATTGCTAATCTCTAGGTGCCTGAACGTTCCTTGTTGGTTCCCTTAACTCCACCCACACCTCTCAAAGTGATCATCCCTTCATTCAAGTCTTTTCATCTGAACCATCTGAGTTGCTTCTTTACCCTGCTGTTGCCCTGACTGATACAGTCTACAAAAACCTTACCTAAGAGATATCTATGCTGGCCAGGGCACTCTCCAAATCAAAGAGTTCGAAAGAAAACCAGAGGTTCTTTTCTCTCTAGTTTTCAGAACTCCTTAACCACTTTGGTGCTATTTAAATTAAGTAATACAAAATGATGGTAAACCCCAGTTTGCAGATGAGAAGTCCGTATTCATTCATTCATTCATCAAATATTTATTGAGTATGTGCCAGGCACTGTTCTGACCCTGGGAAAACAATAATGTACAAGAGAGACATATGCCCTGCCCACATGGTGCTTATAGTGTAAGGTCACTGTCTCTCAGAAGTCAGAGAGCTCATCAGAGGCAGGGCTGGAACCAGAAAACTGAGTTTTCTTAAGTCCTCATCAGAGGCAGGGCTGGAACCAGAAAACTGAGTTTTCTTAAGTCCTAACCTTCAGCAGATTCTCAAAGGAAACCATGACCCAAACATGATTAAGAACTGCCAAATTAAGCCAAATTAACTCTTAAGCTTCTCCCTTGAACAGGGCAATAATGACTACTCACTCCTAGAAGCTTGATGCTCTTAACTTGAATTTGCGGGAGCATGTGGGCACACACCCATGGTGACACCATCACCCACCTTTCCTGCCCACTCTCCTCAATTCTCCACAAATCTGCCCCCGCCTCCATTTCTCACACTTTTATAATTAGTCCCACACCAGTCTCTGAGTCACTCCCTCACGGCCCGCAAACGTTGGCTACGCAACTTGTTGATGAGCTGTTTTTATCAATGGACAGCAGCTGGGAGCTGGATTCAGAGATGTGCCCTCTCCAGGAGCCTGGCATTTCTGGCCCTCCCTGTGTTTCCAGCAAAGGCAGTGACAGTGAAATTTCTGTTTCCATTGAAGTATTTATGAGATTCATGTTGGAGGGCATAACTAAAACTTTGCTGGGGAGAGCCAGGGGTCACTGAGGTGAATTGAGGGGGGCCATAAGGGTCTGCCTGCCTTCTTCAAGCCCTCCGGAAGCATGTGAGTTTCCTCAGAAAGGTTTTAATAGGCCATACCAGTAACCCAATACTTCCCCTGCTCTGCGCCAGACAGGACAAGGGCAACAGCCTGGTGACCTCAGAAAAGGTTGCTAGGCTGGCAGACACAGCCCCTTCCCCAAATCTCCCAGCCCCGTACCTGGCAGACACACTCAGCTCCAGACCTGGCTGTCACTGTGGAACCCCCTCCACTTCTCCCCGGAAAGCCTGCTTCTCTCAGGACCTCCAGCTGCCTTGTCTGAGGCTGAAGGGAAGTCGCAGCCAGGAAGACAGGGCTGGAGAAAGGCAGAAACCTAGTCCTGAGGCTACAACTGCCCCCGCTGCCCTCCCTTCCACCGGCATTTTCCCTTCATGGGACTGCTGTGCCCATGGATGCTGCCTGGGTCTGGAGAGAGGCTTGTTTACTCCACAGCATTCCCTGTGAGGCAAGCCCCCCTGGAAGAGGTCAGAGATCCATTTATAGAAACATCTGAGATTCACTGCTCTTCAATTGCACTCCTCTGTCTCTTTTAAGCTCTCCCAAATTCCTGACCAAGAAGAAATCATGCAGCAAATGGGGAGAAGTAGGGAAGAAACCATTTTTCAAAGCGTCTCTGCTTTGAGCAACCAGGTAGGAGCTGGTTGGAACAAGGACAGAAGGGGTTTCCGAGACAAGCTCGGGTGACAGGAAGCTGCATGGTGGCCATCTCCCTTCCAGCTTCCCTCCACCAAGAGTTGAACGGCAAAAATATCAGGACACATTGCAAAACAATCTTCCTTCCTCCCCCTGTCCCCTGACAGATGGAAGAGAGGAAAGTTGTGGCCATCGTTTACCTGCTGAGATTGGGAGGACGCTGTTGATGAAAGTCGGCTGAGACACCACAGAGCGGAAAAAAAGCTGAAGATAAATTCCCAAAGTCATTGGATTCAGGATAACCATGCTGGCCAGGATCTGGTGAGTGTCAAGTTAGAAAGAAGGCTGCCGTGGAGCCTTGCTTATCTCTGCTTTTCTCTTCCTCACTGCTGCTGCATGCGTGTATGCATGTGTGTGTGTGTGTGTGTGTGTGTGTGTGTGTGTGTGTGTGTCTTTCCCTCTTTCTCTTTCTCTCTCCCTCTCCCTCCTCCTCACCTCCCCCTCCCTCCCCCACCTCTCCTGTCCCCCATGTCTTTACCAAGAAAGAATGCCAACCATTTCCCATTAAACCGTCTCCATACTACACAGAGTTATATTTATCTCAAGCACCATATCAAATGCCCGCATTAAAATTAAGATGTCAAAATATTCTTTTTCGGAGACTGAGGCAAGTGGCTAGCGAAGAGGTGATGAGAAGGCAGCCAAGTCTCAGATGTTCACTGGAAGCAGTCCTCAAGGGCAGAGAGATTCCTAATTGGTCATGCGTCACCATCTACCTGCTTGGAACTGAGCAGAAACAACTCTCCTGATTCAAACCGGACTTCATGGAGACAACCCCTCTGCTGTCAACCTGTGACATTTTTACCCACTGTGTAACAAATGTAAAGTTGACTTTTAATTTTTTTCTTTAATTATCCAATAAAAAGGAGTAGGGAAGTAGTTTATATTTCCGAACAGCTTTCTCTGTGAAAAAGCGTTTCTCTCTTCAAAAGCTGCAACCTTATGATTCAATGCAAAGCAAAATAAACGAAAACAGTAAAAGGATAGAAAAGTGAATGATTTTTATGAAAAAAATAACAGCTGGGAACAGTGGCTCATGCCTGTAATCCCAGCATGTTGGGAGGCAGGGGCAAGCAGATTATGAGGTCAGGAGTTTGAGACCAGCCTGGCCAACATGGTAAAACCCTGTATCTACTAAAGATACAAAAAAATTAGCCGACGGAGTGGGGTGGTGGTGTGCGCCTGTAATCCCAGCTACTTGGGAGGCTGAAGCAGGAGAATAGCTTGAACCCAGGAGGTAGAGGTTGCAGTGAGCCAAAATCGTGACATATGTTGTTCCAGCCTGGGCAACAGGGTGAGACGCCGGCTCATAAAAAAAAAAAAAAAAAAAAAAAAAAAAAAAAAAAAAAAAGAAAAAAAACCCTAAAAAAAAAAAAAAAAAAAAAAAAAAAAAAAAATTCATTAACTTAATATTTGGCTAGACAAAATTCTCCCAATAAAAATTATCACACTCTTAATGCCTTTTATGAGTTTATGAAGCTGGTTATAGAGATGATTAGATTATTAAAACAAAAGAATAATTCACAGAGTTGTTCATTTTGCTTTAATCTACATATTACATGCCCCATAGGAGTTAACTCAGAAACTGGTAGTTACTGGATGCTGGGGTGGGCATGCTGCCCCCATGCTCATTTTGGGGAAGGTGGATTTGGGTCAGGGCATGGTATAAGGCGATACTTTACAGCTATAGCACCACACTTGGGCTTGATTCTCAGCTCTGAGTGGCAGTGGACAAACTGACCTCTCTAAGTCTCAGTTTTCTCATCCATAAAATGGAGACAATGTTCTCTTTACAGGTTTGTTGGAAAGTTAAGTGAGGTAGCAGGGATGAATCCTACACAAATTAGAACTTGCATATAGAGACAGCACAAAGGAGACCCAGGGAGCCATGGTAGCCTGGGTGCAAAGATGGCCTCCAAAAGTCCTTCCACCCCAGTATGAGCACGTCACTCTTCCCAGCAAAAAGCGGGGCTAGTTCCCCTCCCTTGAATCTGAGGTGGCACTGTGACTTGCTTTAACCAATAGAATGGTTAAAGGGATACTGTGACATGTTCTGGCCTAGGTCTTAAAAGCCTGGCAGCTTCTGCTTTTGCCTTTTCTTGAAAATTAGCTGCCACTTAAAAAAGTCTAGGCTATTGAAGAGGTCACATGAAGTGGGAAGCAGCCAGCCTCCAGCTGTTCCGACTATCCCAGATGCAGCATCAACAGACGAGTTGGGGCCATTTTAGAACATCCAGCCCTGTCCTGATCTCAGCCACAGAAGTGACCCCAAGTAAGAGCCTCTGAAGAACTGCCCAGCCCAAATTACAGAGTCATGAACAAATAAAATGGCTATTGTTTGAAACCAGTAAGTTTTAGGATGATTTGTTATGCAGCAATGGCTAACTGATACAGAGTTGGTAAGGAAAGCTTTTGAAAGCATGAAAAACACACTTGAACTACATTCAAAATGTACAGGGCAGAGTAAAGAGGGGGTATCCCCATTTAGCCACTCCCAAAATTTTTACCAGAAGGAGCTATGATTGTTGGCTAAACCCAATCAGGACATTCTCAGGCTCACTCTTGTTATCTCTTGCTGTCCAGCAACCAGCTTCCGGTGGCTTGGAGAAGGTACAGTCTACCTGGGAGGAAGGTATCTCTTGAGTAACTTGGTGTCAGAATATGAGCTTTCACTATCTAACTCAATTCCTCCTCTGCAAAGCCAGTATGACTTCTTCCTTCTTTCAGCACAAAGAGTTCACCACTGACCATGCCCTTGGGACAAGTTATGTCAATATGTCCTACCGGTGACACCTGCTGCTATTTTTGAACACCACCTTGTATTGCTATTTAGCGGTCATTAACATCCCTAAACATAGGGGACTGTCCCACAGCTTTGTGTACTCTCAAGGCTTCCAGAACAGTCCTTGTCACCTAACAGATCCTCAATAATGTAAGTTACTTTGATCAAGTCACACCACTGGATAGGATGAAAAGAGAAGAATGCAGAAAAATAGCATAACTTCATGCTCCAGCTTCCTGCACAACTTACATTTCCCCAGCACCCCTTAGACCCTCTGCACATACAGCTGGCTGGCCTGCGCCTGGTACAAGGAAGGGCTTTGACAAGTGTGGTGAGAGCATAAGGGTGACTATGGATGGCCATCTTGAATTAGGACCTGCAAACAGAGAGGCTAAATTTGTAATTCAAGTCACTGGAATGAGCTACTGCTGATCTAAAGTTACTACAGGAGCCTCTACCCTCTGGGGAGGCCCCAACACAGAGTTACTTATAAGGCCTCAATGCTTATTAAACAATTTTTAGTAAATTTCCATCTCTTCAGTCATCTTACATTTTACGAGCCCATTTCTTATAAGATTACCCTAACTGACCAAGACAGAAATTACCATCTTTCTTCAAATTCTCCTGGAAGGGCTCTGATATTTCCAGAATCTAATCACATAGGCTATTAGATTTGTCCAGAAGGAAAATATTTGAGATTTGAGAAAAGCTGACACCAATAAAGCCATTCAAAGTCAGAGTCTTCCCTCTCAGGCCTTGTAGGCGAGTATATACCGGAGAACAATCTGTTGGCCCCACCAAACTTAAAATATGCTTGCCATCTGCCCCAGAAGTTCTCAGAAATACTTATTCAACTGCCCACTGGTTTAGGTGCAAGGATGTGCATTGTTGCTCAAATTGGAAACAGCCTCACTGTCCATGAATAAAACTCTGGTGGAATAAATCATGGGACATCCATTCAAAATGTTATGCAGTGATTAGAAAGAATAAAGTAGTCTTTGCAACAAATGGTGCTGGAAAAATTTGACTTCCATATGCAAAACAAACAAATAAAGTTTAACCCTTACCTTGCCCCATGCATAAAAATTATTTAAAAAATAGATCATAGACCTAATTGTAAATGTAAAAATATTAAACTTCTGGCAGAAAACAGGAGAAAATCTTAGTGACCCTGAGTTAGGCAGAGATTTCTTAAATAAGATGCAAATACAAATCTTAAATTAAAAAGAAGTTAAATTGGACTTTATAAAAACTTTAATGCTTCTGCTCTTCAAAATATAATACTAAATTGGAAAGCCAAGCCAAAAAGTAGGAGATAATATTTGCAAAACACATATGTAATAAATGATTTGTAGCTAGAATATATTAAAACATTCACAACTCAATTAAAAGAAATAGAAGGCTGGCATGGCTCACACCTGTAATCCCAGCACCTTGGGAAACTGAAGTGGGTAGATCACTTGAGGCCAGGAGTTCGAGACCAGCCTGGCCAACATGTGAAACCTCATTGCTACACAAAATACAAAAATTAGCTTGGTATGATAACACACACCTGTAATTATAGGTACTCAGGAGGCTGAGGCACAAGAATCGCTTGAACCCGGGAAGCAGAGGTTCCGGTGAGCTAAGATTATGCCACTGCACTCCAGCCTGGGTGACAGAGCGAGACTCTTTCTCAAAAAAAAAAAAAAAAAGAAAGAAAGAAAGAAATGGTCACAACCTGGAAAACACGGCAAGACCCTGTATCTACCAAAAAGAAAATTAGCTGGGCCTGGTGGTGCATGTCTGTGGTCCCAGTTAGCTGGGAGGCCGAAGATGGGGATATCACCTGAGCCCAGGAGGTCAAGGCTGCAGTGAGCTATTACTGCACCACTCCAGCCTGAGTGACAGGGTGAGACCCTGCCTCAAAAAAGGGAGGGAAGGAAGGAAGGAAGGAAGGAAGGAAGGAAGGAAGGAGGGAGGGAGGGAGGGAGGGAGGGAAGGAAGGAAGGAAGGAAGGAGGGAAGGAGGGGAGGAGGGAAGGAGGGAAGGAGGGAAGGAGGGAAGGAGGGAAGGAGGGAAGGAGGGAAGGAGGAAAGGAAGGAAGGAGGGAAAGAGGGAAGGAGGGAAGGAGGGAAGGAGGGAAGGAAGGACGGGAGGGAAGAAAGGAAGGGAGGGAAGGAAGGAAAAAGATGCAAATAGATATTTCACCAAAGAAGATACATTAATGACAAAAAAAAATTTGTAAAGATATCCAACATCTTTAGTCATTAGGGAAATGCAAATTAAAACCACAGTGAGATACCACTACACACATACTAGAATGGTTAAAATTTAAAAGACTGACAATACCAAGTGTTGGTAAGGATATGGAGCAACTGGAACTCTCAAACATTGCTAGTGGGAATGCAAAATGTTGTAACCACTTTGGGAAAAAATGTCAGTTTCTTATAAAGTCAAATATACACTTATTATACATCCAACAATTCTACTCTTCAGTATTTATCCAAGAGAAATGAAACACATGTCCACAGAAAGACTGTACATGAAAGTTCATAACCACTTCATTTGTAATAGCTAAAATTAGAAACAACCCAAATGGCCATCAATCAGTGAATGGATAAACAAACTGCATGTATACATACAGTGCAAAACTACTCAGCAATAAAATGGAATAAACTAAGTAACATGGAAGAATCTCAAGTTCATTATGCTAAGTGAAGGATGCCAGACACAACAGCCTGAATACTGTATAATTCCATTAGTAGGACATTCTGGAAAAGGCAAAACTATGGAGCTGGAGAACAGATCCATGGTGCCAGGAGTTAGAGTTGTGAGAAGAGAAGGCGGCCCAAGAGAACTAGCAGTGATGGAAATAATCTTTATCTTGATTAGAGTGGGTGTTTGTACATTTTGTCAAAACTCATTAAACCATACTCTCAAAAGGCTGAGTTTTATTATATGTACAGTTTCCATCAGTAAACTTGATTTTAAAAATTAAGAAAAATGTCACATGTATGCACTGACATGGAAGATTGTCAGTGGAATATTGTTGAGTGAAATAGGAAAGTGGCAGTATATCTGACCAAATTTCTGAACAAACAAGCAAATCTACTTATCAATTTTTGTATGCACATACAGAAAGATCTAGAATGATGTACATCCCAAGAATATGGGATGAGGGAAGATAAAAGGAGAATTTCCTTT